TCCTAACTATCTCCAAGCTGAAGACCTCAACTTACTTTGATGGTCGTGACTTCTATACGTGGGGATTTGAGTTCAAACTCCTCGCGCAACCCTATGGTATTAGGGGATATTTCGACGGTACAATCCGTTATCCAGAGACAGGAACGATCGAAGAACATGCGCGTTATTACAAGTATTCGCTTATGGCCTATACACTACTTGTGCAAAATCTCTCACCTGAAGAGCAATTGGGAGTATGGTAATTCAAACCTTCACTTGCTCCAGCCTTCTATGCCTGGGAATACCTGCGAAAGTTATATCAAGCACAAGATAATGTTACACAAAGCAAGCTGTTAAGTCAACTTACAGCCATGCAAATGCTTCCGGGAGAAAAAGCCAGCAGCTACAGTACATAAACAGTTGCAGAACCCTTCGGGATCAGCTCAAAAAAGTGCGGAGGCAACCTCAGCAACGAGCTCTTTGTCACTATCCTTCTGGTTGGACTTGGACTTGAATGGAGGTTGTGCAACTCCCTTCTTCGTTCCCAAGGGAATATCTCAGAAACCTCTCTTTGGGCTACTCTAATGGCAGAGCAGCAAGTTTTGGACCTGTACGACGCAAAAGGAGGCAAAGCCAAGAGTGGGTTAAGATTCTATACAGGTGGACCAAGTCAAGGGGAGCAGACAAGAGGTGCATCAAATCAATGGAAGCAGACAAGAAAAGGAGGAAAGGGCTTCTGCAAGTTCTGCAAACGGCACGACGGCTCGATGACTGGGTCAGATCGGGTAAGGGGCCGGCAGAGCTGGGGCCGGCAAAGCGAGGGGCCAGCAAGCTAGGGGCCGGCGATCTAGGGGTCGGCGAGCACGGGGCCGGCAAGCTCGGGTTCGACAAGAGTTCTACTCGCTAGCCCCGCGCTCGCCAGGCCTGCGCCCGTTGGCCCCGAGCTCACTGGCCCAGCCCTTGCCGGCCCCGTGCTGGCCAGCCCCTCACCTGTTGGCCCCGCGCTCACTGGCCCCGAGCTTGCCGGCCCCGTGCTCGCCGACCCCTAGCTCGCCGGCCCCTAACTTGCCAGCCCCTTGCTTTGCCGGCCCCAGCTCCGCCGGCCCCTTACCCGCTCTGGCCCTGCATCGTCGAGCCGCCGAGCCGTCGTGCCGTCGAGCCGCCGTGCAGTGCCGCCATGACTCCGTATGGCTAAGCCGCCGAGCCGCTCTGCCGCCCCGACATGCCGGCCTTGGCTCTCCTCTAAGCCGGCGCTCCTGCAAGCTGTCTCCGCCGCTCTACGCCGCACTCCACCACTCTCCATCGCACTCCACTACTCTCCACAGCTCTCCACCGCTCTCAACCGCTCTCCACCGCCCTCCACCACTTTCCTTCCCCTCCAACGGCAGTCAAATGCTGCAGCCGTGGTTATGGCTGACTCTGTGCTCCGCTTGGATGCGGAGGGTCGGGCGGTTGATTTTGAGGCGTGGCTCGTCAACTTCCGCCGCGAGCAGATCGGTCAGCGCAAGGACAGCTACTCCCTGGCCGTCCATGTTGATGATAAGCTACCCTGCCCCGCAGCGCTTGCTGCCCTCCCTTACGCCCCCACGTCTGCTGAACGTGAGGCCTTTGCCGCTGCTGAGCTTGCCCACAATGTCTGGGAGTCGCGCGATGCAGTCGCACGGCTTGCCATTAGTCACGCCCTCCCCCTGTCTGAGCATCCCCGCTTTACCGCTGTAGCAAATGCGAAGGAGTACTTAGATGCGGTCATTGCCCGTTATTGCACTCCCTCCTCCGCCTCTGCCGCCGTCTAATCCTCCCCATGTTATTCCCTAATCTTGCTTCCTTCCCCACTTCCGCTGACCTTGCCACTCATCTCCGTGCACTTGAGACTAGCTACCGCGCTGCTAGCACTGACGCACAGCTCACTGCATTCTCGACGCCGCTTTGCACTACCCTTTACCTCATTGCCACACGCCTGCCTAACCGCCTAGTCACTGCCTGTGACCATTTCCCTAGTTAGCACCCAGGTGACCTCACCCTTACCGCCTTTGTCACCGCCCTATCCGTCATCAAGACTCGCCAGCGTACTATCGCTCAGTCTAGCGGTACTGTGGCGGTCCCTATCTTCCAGGGTTGTGCTCCCTCCCAGTGCACCTACTCTGTTGTTTATGCCGCTGTCCCTGCAACAGGCCCTGCTGTTGAGACCGTTGTAGCGGCCTCAGTGCTACCACGTCAGGGTAAGGGCCGCCGCCCAAAAGGGGGGCATGCAGAGGGAAGGGAGGCTGGGGTGGTGAGGGTGGCGGAGGTGTTGGAGGTGGGGGTGGGCACGGTGGTGCAAACGAGGGGACAGAGGCTGATGCCTCGGGGCAGCAACAGCAGCAGCAGAAGCCTCAACAGTAGTAGCAGCAGTCGCAGCGGCAGCAGCAGCAGCCGTGGGGACCCCCTCTGCCATGGTGACCTGGCAGCGCTAGTGGTGGTCGTCGTGGTGGTGGGCCGCGCAGCTCGGTGTCGGGTGGCGGCTCTAATGTGGTCACCTGCCAGTAAAAGCTTCAGTCCGGCCCCCGCCGCGGCACCGTCTGCGACCGTCCCGGTCACAATGCCGCCCGCTGCTACCGCCGCCTTGACGACCTCTTCCGTCTCCACTTTGGCCCCACGTCGGACCCCCCCGATTGGTACAGCCTGGTGTGTCGCCGTGTGCCTATCTTGGAGCTTGACATGGATCAAATTAGGTCTGGTATGTATGTCATGTATGCCGATAACTCTAATGTGACTGGATTATATTACCCGGTGTTGCCTAGTATAGGTGTGTCCACTGTGTGCAGCCTAGGTTCCCCTGCTGCGTCAAGCATAGGACCACCTCCTTTGTTTAGCCTCGGCTCCACTCTCCCTCCCAGGATGCCGCGGCTTGCTCATGTAGGTCACTCACCCATCCGTCGCTTCTGTGGCATCACCGCCTAGGTCACCCTGCACTCCCCCGTCTGCATCATATGTCTCATCACGGTCTTGTCTTAGGTCTCCCTTCATCGCTCCCTGCCCTCCCTCCCTCCCCCACGCCACCGTGCACTCTCTGCATCGAAGGCCGGCTGCTCCGTGCTCCTCACTTCTCCTCGTTGCCCCCCACCACTGCGCCACTCCAGACCCTGCATTTGGACGTTTGGGGCCTAGCCCCCGTCCCTGGGCTGTGTCGAGAGCACTACTTTCTAATACTCGTCGACGACTGCACGCGCTACAACCACGGTGTTTCCCCTAGAGCGGAAGGCCAACGAGCCTGCCGTTCTTATCCCGTGCATCGTAGCTGCGCGAGTCCACCGTGGCCTGCCTGTGCTTCGTCTCCACTCCGATCGTAGCGGCGAGTTCGCCTCCAGTCAGCTTGGCCAGTTCTGACGTGCAGAAGGCATCACCCAGTCGTACACCCTGCCAGACTTTCCGCAGCAGAATGGGGTCGCTGAGCGACAGTTTTGTCATGCAGGTGGCTCGTACCTCCATGATCCATGCTGGTGCACCCCATTTTTTGTGGACGTTCGCTGTTCGCTACGCCGCTCACCAGCTTCACCTGTGGCCGTACTCCTAGCGACTGCAGGTTTCGTCGACCTTTCTCTGGACCGGGTCCCCAGGTGACACGTCAGCGTTCCACATCTGGGGCTGCTTCGCTCACGTTCATGCCTCTTGCACGGACAAGCTCATTGGACGCATAGTCCCTTGTGTCTTCCTTGGCTTCCCCCTCGACGCGTCGGACTGTCACGTTTACCACCCGCCGTCTCACCATTTCTTTCACTCTCGTGATGTCATTTTTTACGAGTCTTTCTCCTTCTACACCCGCTTTCCCCACCGAGGTCTCCCCGTTTCCCCACACCTGCTCCTGGTCCCCACTCCCCCGATAGCCCCTGCTCCTTTTCCTCCCCGTCCTGCCCCGTCTGGTGTGTCTCACGTCACTCCCCTCTCACCTGTGCCCCGTCGACCCCGTGCGCCCCGTCGGCCCTCGTCACCCGGTCGGCCAGCCAGCCGCCCAGCCCGCCGGCTCCAGCCTAGCCGGCCCCCGCTTCAGCGGTCGCCCGCCGGACCATCAAGTCCCAGCGCCGACCCACCGGCTCTGGCTCCCTTCAGTGCCGGCATCCCTGCCGGCTGTCTCCACCACTCTCCACCGCACTCCACCACACTCCACCGCACTCCACAACACTCCACTGCACTACACCGCACTCCACCCTCTTCACCGCTTCCTCCACATGTCCTCCTCACTCTGTCAGCGGCCGTCAGCAGCTGCAGCAGTGGCGATAGTGGAGTCACAGCTCTGTCAGGATGCAAAGGGTCGGGCGCTCGACTTTGAGGTGTGGCTCGTCGACCTTCGGCGTCACCTTATAGGTCAGCGCCAGGATGGTCACTCCCTGGCTGTTCATGTCGATGGCCTACTTCCCCGCCCCCCTGCCCCTACTGCCCTCCCTGATGCCCCCACCACTGCTGAGCGTGAGGCCTTTTCCGCTGCTGCGCTTGATCGTGCTGTCTGGGACTCATGCGACACTGTCGCCCAGCTTGCTATCAGCTGTGCGCTCCCGCTGTTTGAGTGTCCTCGCTTCACCACTGTAGCGAACGCCCAGGCCTTCTTAGATGCTATCATTGCGTGCTATTCCATCCCCGCCTCTGCCTCTACCGGTCGCCTGATCCTTCCGATACTGTTTCCTGATCTTGCGTCCTTCCCCACTGTAGCCGACTTTGCCACGCACCTCCGCGCGCTTGAGACAAGCTACCGCGCTGCTAGCTTTGAGGCACAGCTCACTGCCTTCCTGCTGCCGATCTGCGCTACCTTTATCTCATCGCCACATGCCTCCCTGACTGCCTAGCCACAGCCCACGACCACTTCCTAAGTCAGCACCCGGGTGACCTCACTCTTACTGCTTTTGTCACTGCCTTGTCTGAGATAGAGACTCGCCAGCATAGTATAGCTCATTCTAACGGCACTGCAGCGGTACCTATCTTTCAGGGTTGTGCCCCCTCCCAGTGCACTTACTCTAACGTCACCACTAGCGCTTTGCTCTCCTTCACGCTTGAATCCGGTGCG